TTCTCCTCCCCCCCCCCCCCCCCCCCAGGCTGGTATATAATCGAACAAGTAAGATTACAGAACCACCAGATGGAGTGGATATTAGAGTCCCAGGTTTTGGGCAGACTTTCTCCTTGGAATTCCTTGACCCAAGTAAAAGGAGTGTTGGTATGTACAAGCTGCATCTGAAGTGCTTTGTCACCTGCAGGATTTTTCTAGTATGACTTTATACAACAAGCTACTGAAATGTGATTTCAAATTGCATTTCTGTTTAAAAGTAGAAAAACTGATTGGTTTTGTTGTTGTTGTTTGTTTGTTTTTGGTAGTAGGGTAGCACATGGCTCACTTACCTTTTAAGTGTTTTCATTGTATTGTCTTGTCTGTTGTTTGGCCTGATAGATTGAGACAAGAAGATTCCATGTTACTTAGTCTTGTGCCAAATTTAAGTTCTCTGGATGAAACTTGAGTAGGTGCTTTGAAGACAGATGCTTTTGGAAAATGAGATGGGTTGAGCAGAAAATTCTGTGACAGAAGCTTGACAAGCAAAACCAAAATAAACCCACTTCATTTCAGCTTGGTTCTGAGTAAGGCGCTCTTTGGCCTTAGGAATGAGTTAATGGGCTTGGGAGATACTGTACCATGCTCTGTAGCTCCTCGTCTTTTGTTGGTGTCAGAATAATTATATAATTACATTTGTGCTGCAAAAGATTTCTGCATTAATGTGTTTGCAGGGTTTTTTTAGGGTTTTTGTAGAAGTCATCTTTCAGAAAATACTGAATCTGATAAGCTTGTGTGAGTAGTTGTTAGCTGTGGCTGAAGACTTAAGTAACTTAGTAGCCAGTAGTGCACTGAGCTTCATGTGCTTCATAGCATGGATTTCTTTTCTTTAGGTAGCGATCTCCAGAAGGGCAGTAATGTGCTTAATGATCTTCACTAGATGACTCTCATAACCAGAACAGGGCCATATATAAAATTGCTTCTGTTCATTTTAGGGACTATATGATAAGCTTTCAAGACTGAGTGAGGTTTTGCTCCAAACTTAAATATGACTGTGATATTCAATAGGATGTTTTGACACTTAATCTTTCAAAGTGTTATTAGATGCATTTAATTGTGGTAATACTTAAACCCTATGTGTCAAAGCTTGTAATATGTAACATCTTTCAATGTGTAACATTAGCCAGTCTGCAAATGTTTCCCTTCTTTGCTATTAAAGCATTATGTTCAGTCACTTAAGTCTTAGTCTACTACCTGACAGAAAAATAGTTTTGGGGTAGTTTCCAGAGTTTTGCCCTGGGGTACACTGTAAGCATTTGTTTCCAAGAATAAATGTTGGTGAGGTCCAGGCCAACCTTTATGAATGTATTATATACTCTACCTGAAGTTAATCTGCAGTCAACAAAAGCTAGGACTCTAATGTAGTAATTTCTTAGATGTCTTACCCTTGAACTGTAAAGAATACATTTCTGCTGCAGAGAATTTATCCATTCTGTGTATACCACATTTTGCTGCCACATCTGATAGATCAGCCAACTAGTAAGAAGTTTTAATAATGGTATTCTCTCACTTTTGGGGGACAGCGGGCAGAACTAATTTTGTTTAATACGCAGCTTTCTAGATTGTCAAAGATTAAGACTACAGTTTTAATGTCTGAATATATGGTATCAGAGATAATGCTTCCAGAACTTAGTTTGTTTCACGATAGTGTCTGATGGCTGCTTCTAATGCTAATCTTTTCACTGTTCTGTTTCTTATCTGATGTCTACAGGCAGTTACTTTTATATGCTGGTGCAGAGTTTAGTAGATTGGGGCTACAAACGTGATGAAGATGTACGAGGAGCACCTTATGACTGGCGAAAGGCACCAAGTAAATAACATTGTTACTTGAATAAAATTTTGACTCTCCCAGACAGCAAAAATTGTTTTGGGTCTCTTCTCCCATCCCACCTGTACAATTATACTTAAACTTAATTTTTACTAGTTCTTGGGCCAGGGTACCCCTGGACCCAGATGAAGGTTGTGTGGTGTGGTTTCTTTTTTTCCTTGCTACTTAAGACTTGCTTAAAAACAAAACAACAAAAAAGCCACGCTACCAAAACGCATCCCCACAAAACCACCCACCCCTCCCACTTAATACTGGAATTTCTAAGCTCTGCATTATTAATTCTACAGATAGTTAAAAAATTAACACTTTAAAGAATTGTGTTGATGTTCAGCATTCACAATTAATAACTCTGTAACCTGTATATGTTTACTTCAGATGAGAATGGAGACTATTTTGTGGCCCTTCGCAAGATGATAGAGCTAATGTATGAGCAGTATGGAAGTCCTGTTGTCTTAATTGCCCACAGTATGGGTAATATGTACACCCTCTATTTCCTCAACCATCAGACTCAGGATTGGAAAGACAAGTACATAAAGGATTATGTGTCATTAGGTGCTCCATGGGGAGGAGTGGCTAAAACTCTCCGTGTGCTGGCTTCAGGTAGGTAACTTGAGCGTTTGCAATGTATTTTGCAAGTATCTTGCAGTGCAAGATACTAACTAGACTGTTAACTGTAAGACTAGAGGATGAGAGTTTAAGGAACTATGAAGTTAAATATAATTTTTTCATAAGTGATGGCAACTTTGTTTCAAGCCCTGTGACCAGACTCTCATTCTTTATGTTTGTGGGAGTGGACTGAATTTTTTTACTCCTGTAACCAGGAGCTGTGTTGCCTCTTGACTTCTCCTAACCTATTTTCAGCAGATTGTTGTCATCTTCTGTTTGGCCTGGTGTCTTCTATTTCTGTCGCTTCTGTCTCCAGCCTGATTGCTCGCTGTTCAGTATTGCAAAGCTAACAAGGACTCCAGAGCATTCAGTTGTTTCCTTTGATTAAAGATCACACAGCTGCTTGAGGTTAACATTAAGGGAAACTTGTAGACATGGTGGTGAAGTGGTGCCCGCAGCACAAAAGCCTGTTGAAGGTTATAACTCTACAGATAAGGAAAGTGTATCTTTGAGATCGTGGGTTTAGCATACTAAATATGCCTGACACTGGGGGGGGGGGGGGGGGGGGGGGCTAACTTATTTCACTAAGAAACTGCAAATGACTGATGGAAAAAGTTCACTTACCCCATCATGTGATACCATAATTATTTCATGTGCTTTGGCATTTAGTTCATGATGTTTTGGGCTTGTTTTTTTTAGCTTGTTTCTGACTTGTTAGCTTTGGTTATCACTATCTTCCTAAACAAAGCTGACATCAGAAACTGGACTTCATCAAAATGCAGAATGCACAGCAAGTGCCAGTCATGCATGGACAGATCAAAGAATACTTTGCTTACCAAAGGCATTTGATTCTGAATAGTAGTGCATAGCTCAGTTACTAATTAGAAAACTTAAACTGGATGTTTGTATTGAGTTATACATTGTTAAATCTATTGCAATGGCACTGTAAAAATTAATATCCCTTTTCTCACAGGCTTCCGCTGACAAGTTTGCATGCTACAGAAATGGCAGGAAGTGAGCAATGTTAACTTCATAAATTTCCACATGATTATATAAAATTCCGCTGTCCCAGATTTCTGTTGGATTAAACTTTTATGCTTCATGTCTTGTTCATCCTTTGTAATGCGTCTCATCCAAAGTGGCTAGCTATACAAATGCATAATGAATAGTTGAATTTGTACTAAAATGTAGTCACCTTTTAGTCTGTATGTCTGTAATAAACTCCATGTTTTAGAGCAGAAATTTAAGAATCATGTAGGAAAGTTAAATGGGCAGAACATAATATCAGAATGCACATTTTTATGCTAGTTCTGTCTAAAATACCTGTAGTAAATCACCACCATCAGGCATTTAATACTTGGATTACATTAGTCTATTAAAGAGTTTCTAAAACTGACATTATCAGGATGTTAGTATGCAGAGGAATTGTTGCTTTAAAGAAAAATACTGCATTGCTGCAGGAAAGACAAGGCAAGCTATGAATGCATTCTTTCTGCTCCCATTCCTGTTTATAATATGGTAATGGCTAGGAACTGTATGTCAAATCCACAGTTGTGTTATTAAAGTGGTAAACAGTACACAGGTGGAATTATTTTCTCTAGAACTTCTGTAATACTTTCTGCTACTTATTCATGTGCCTTGCAAGATCAATACTTATATCATTACAATTCCAGTGCCAATAAAGTGAGGAGGTTTTTCCCACTACAGTGACCAAAGACACAAAGTTCACTCTGGTGGCTTGGTGTGGGTTGTTTTTTGGGTTGTGGTGTCAGCTTGAGATGCTAGCAGTGTCTTCCCTAGACCTAATACTTTGTTCACTATAATGTCAATTACGGTCTGCCTGCTGACTTAAGCATGGTCTTGGCTGTACAGTACTTCTGCACTTCAGAGAAAAGTAAAGGATTTGATAAGCATTTTGTAACAGTTCTGTAAGAGAAGGCTGGAATAGTCAGGTTCTGTGTTTGAGTATTCTACTGGAAATAAATTTTGTAAGCATTCCTTTCATTGTTCAATTTGGAACTTGGGCTTTCTTTGTTGAAAACTGCCAAGTAGTATTCAGTAGCTTAGTGATGAGTGCATAGTTAAGTATTTATACTACACAGTAATATGAAACACATTTTTCAGGACCTTTGTGATTCTTGCTGTGCTCTTTTGAGTTTCCTTTTTATCTGTTTCAGAGTTATACTAGCCATGTCTCCATATAGTCGTCCTAAAGATGGCATTAAAGACTGTGCTTTAGGTCTTGCTGAAGCAATAGTGCCACCTTATGGAACTGAAAAATACACTTTGGTGCTATTTCAGGAATAGTGGTTTTGGTTTCAGTATTTCAATTTCTATGGTGTGGTTGACCTGGATCACTATGTGCTGTAACCACCTGGACCTAATAATAGAAATTCTGATTCAAAGTTCAGCTGACAAAAGAATTGAGGTGTGCCAGCCATTGTGATAATGGAAAATAGGTCTGATTAGACAGTCACCATGAAAATAAACTTGGATCTGTCTCAGGGCTTTTTTTTTTAAAAAAAAAGTTTGTTTCTAGTAATCACTGTATCTGCCACTTATTAAGCAGCTTTTAAGTTTGTGAAGATGCAAGAATAATGGTTAAAATATAGAAAGATGCATATAAACTATAACTTAGTCATGTGTTAGTTTGAGCCATCTTTGAAACAAACTGCTAAGAAAACGATGGACTTGATGTCTACAAAAAAATTCTTGAAATGTTCTGGTCAAATACTAGTTCTGTAATAAGACTAAGTCTAAATTTGGTAAAATGCAACAATTTTGGTTTTATTGGGTATTGGATAATTTAAGACCTTTATTGATAATAAGCTCTAGCTCTCTAGATTTATATTACATTAAGACAACATAATGCCTTGGAAAAGCTTGGCCAGCTGAAAACATTTCCCAAGTATAGCAGTTATCAACTAGTCTTTCAAGAATTGTTGGTTTTGTCTATTGTCCCCCACCCCTTTACCCCAGCAAAGATGTTTAGGTTACCAGAGTTGCTAGAAATATTACTGCTACATTAGAGAGAACCTGTGTTCTGAGCAGCACAAGTATTTTAGCAGCCCTGAAATGCTGACTGGAAGGGAAGATGCTGATACCAGCAATTTTCCATGGTTCCCACCACAAGCTAACAAGCTCTAACTCTTTTCTTCTCTGAAGAACTATGCATAGAGACTGAATTGGTCATTGAGTGTAGCATTCTTTCTTGATGGCATAAGCAGAGACAGTAATACTTGCTTTGCTTCTGTTTCCTTTCATGATAGTTATCTTCTTAGGTAATTATTAAGAGTCTGCTATTTTCTTTCAGTTGTAGGCATGTTCTGGTAGGTTTTGTTATAAAGGGAGTATATAAACTGGTAAAACACTATGCCAAATGGTAAATAAATCAATAGTAATTTTCATAGCTATCCTGAATGAAATACTGCTACTCTGCTTGTTTTGAATGTGCAAAATTTTAAACATTTTGTTAAGCCTATAAAGTCTCTTCATGAGTTCTTAAATGTGTGTGGATAGTCGTGTTTATCTGTTCTTTCAGCAAAAACATGATCTAGGTACCAGAATCACTGTAAAACACATTTCCAGAAGATCATTTAAGACAAAACTTGCAAGACAAAACTTGCAAATGGTATAAATAATGCCTAATAAAAACTGATTTCTTACTTGGCTCACACAGGAAATTTTTTCTCCTTTAAAAAGGAACATATTGGAAAGGTGGCAGTGTTCTTGGTTTGTCATTCATTCATCAACTTGTATTTCAATTTGTAAGTTACCAGAAGTTAGTCTGCAGAAGTTAATTATCAAGACAGTTATAAATGAGGAAAAACTTCTCAAATTGTCACTGTAAGCAAAGGGAATAATCTCTTTATTCATGTTATTGCTGTGAGTGGTAGTAATTGCTGCTGGTTGAGATTCATGCTTTGCTTTGTGTATAATGAAATTCCACCTTTTTTTAAGGTGACAACAACAGAATACCTGTTATCAGTTCACTCAAGATTAGAGACCAGCAGAGATCAGCAGTTTCCACAAATTGGATGCTTCCTTACAACTACACATGGCCTCCAGATAAGATCTTTGTAAGCACACCTACAGCTAACTACACTCTTCAGGATTACAGAAAATTCTACAGGGACATCAATTTTGAAGATGGCTGGCTCATGAGACAAGACACTGAACACCTGGTCTACCAGATGACACCGCCTGGTGTGCGTATACACTGTCTTTATGGTACTGGTGTGGAAACACCCGATTCCTTCCATTATGAAAGTTTTCCTGACAAAGAACCCAAGATTCTTTACAGCGATGGGGATGGTACAGTAAACTTACAGAGTGCCTTGCAATGTCAAAAGTGGGTGGACATGCAAAAACAGGAAGTGGTGATATTTGAGCTTTCAGGAAATGAGCATATTCAAATGCTATCCAATGATACTACTATCTCCTACGTGAAAAAGCTGCTTTTTGATTTGTGATACCTTGTGTTGACAGTTACTCTCCTCACCTGTGATGCCTTCCCTTAAATATGGGAAAATACCTTTTAATCCCTTGATATTTAGATATTTGAATTATTTATTTTGTGTTCTTTTTTTTAAGGCTGTGTTTAAGAAGTTGTTTGGTGTCCTAAATGATCATTTGTCCCCTATTTGTGTTTATGATGCTTCATAGTATTTTCACATTCTGCAAATTTGCTCAAATATGCATTTTGGTGCCTCTGGTGTTGTGTCCAATATTCATACAGACTTTCATTTGGAGATTGTGTAGCCCCTTGCACATACTACATAGAATCATAGATACCTGAGTTCCTTTGTGTGGTCTTTGCAGGGTTTGGAGTGGGAGGGCTAGGAAGGATTGCAATTTTAGATGCCCATAAAACAAGGGAATGATATTAACAGTTTGGGAAGCACAGTGAACTTTTTAAAGGGTCTTGCATATTCTGATTCACAGTTCCCAGTACCTTAATTTGTAAATGTGCATATCTACTAGCTAAGATAGGGAAGAGCTCTGCCTGGAACTGTACTACCTTTGTCATAATCTAGCCTTTCTTTTATTACAGCTTTTGGGGGGGGGGGAAGTGTGTGAATTACTTGAAGCTTATTATTAGGTAACTTTTTTTTTTAAAAGAAGAAATTGTTTGCTCAAATTCTAGAACCTGATTACATACAATCTGGAGTCTGAGGAATCCTCACTTTGTGCTTTATTTATCAATGAGGGAAAGAAGCTAAACAGTGGTTAGTGCTTGCAATAACTGTAGCTCTGTGGAGTAGCACATAAATTAAAGCTCATTGAATTGAATACTGGCAAACAATCCATACAGTGCAGAATTGCATTTCTGGGTGAAAAGTGATCTCATGTAGTAGAAGTGATAATGGATGGTGGGCATTAATTCAAAAAGAAAAGTGAACTTCCTGAAATGGGGTGGGGAATGGAAGTCAGCATAATACAGTATGAAGTATAAACCTTGTTCTCAGTCAATACTTAAGCTCTGATCTAGTTACTGATCAAGTAGTGATTGGAAGAACATTGCATTCAGCTGAAAAGCAACTCTACATTTTAAGACTAAAATCCATTTCCCATAGATTACAAGTTTCATTATTGCTGTTATAAGAAGTTGGGATACACTGTTCCTTAAACATTTCTGTAAACTGCTGAATATGCAACTCTGTTAATTTCCTACAGTATCATTTTACTCAGTGTTTAAAAAAAAATTCAACTCTCAACTCCACAGAAATGATAGCCTAAAGGCCATCATATTTACAACCTTGATTACAGAAGTCCTGCTGGAGAAAGTTTCACTTGAAGATTCTCTTTTGCTTGCTTTAAAACTAGTCACCCAGTTAGACTGCACTTAGTTTTCTGAAAACACAATTTTGAATGCTTTCAAAATGCTAGGTCCTCCAAGAAAACTGTTTTAAGAGTTTCAGAAACTCATCAAAACTATTGAGGATTCATTACTTAAACTGAAGTTGTCGAAAGGGTAAAGTTTTTAACTACTTTGGTAGCACGCATAAAATATTTGCTGCCATTAAACGTATCAATAAGATAAGTTGAAATGACAGTCTTGAACTCGTGTTACTGTAGAATGCAAACATTCTGGCACAGGAGATAAGTTAAAGGCTTTAAGTTTTAATTCAGAAATTACTTGTAAATGCAGAACAACTTGAACTAGGGTCATGGATAAGCTAAATAGGTTTTAACTTCCTTATTTAGCTTCCTTCCCCCTCCCCCCCCGCATTTGCCCTATTACTTTTGTTGAGAGCGAGTACACATTTTCCTAGTTTTTAAAATGGAATGTTTATCTCTTCCTCAGTTGCCCAGGGACCTACAGTTCAGCAGCAATATTGCCTAGACTTTTCCAGAGTAAGTACTGAGTTGCCCCCAGTCATTTGTAATTGGTAACTGTTGAAATGGGGGGAAAAAACCCCCAAAACAACCAAACAAAAAACCCAACAAAACCCAAACCAAAAAAAACTCAACAAAAAAACCCCCAAACCCTGCCCCCAACCCCAAACAACAACAAAACCCACAAAAAAAGTCCTTTGGCCGTGTTCTATTTTATGCAGGGCTGTCAGCTGGATAAGCTTCAGGCTTGTGTTCCAAGACTGCTCAAAGATGATAAAGCTCTTCCTGTGGTCTGACTCAATTTTTGAATAAATTGCTATGTTACTGGTTTACAACAGAAAGAAATTACAGAAAACAGCTTATCACAATCTGTATTTCTTGCTGAAGTAGAATGCCTGTTAATAAGCACTGGAATGAGTGGAGCTGGAGGCTGTATTGCAGGATACCAACATGGGCATGAAGGGCTGAAAAAAATGAGAAAAGAACATAGGTTCTTAACCTGATCAGGAGAATGTTTCTAAGCTACATTTAGATCCTTACCCATTAATTGGTAGCATTTTCAGTCTCATACCAAAAGTTTAGCTTCAGGGTGTTTGTGATTTGAGGTTCCAAAATACAGGATTCCAAAAGGTGCTGTTTAAAATTCTTTTCCCTTTACTACTTTCTAATACTACTTTTTGTGCCCCAAAAGAAAAAAAAAAATCTTTTTTTTCTTATTTTGGCAACTTAGTACTGTGTTTCTGAGATCAGTTGACTGTATCTTTTAACCTAAAGATTTGTAAATCAGCTTTCCATTATTAGACAAGGCCTTGAGTGTGTCTCTTTAAATAAACTTGTGTCAGTTAACCTGATAAAATGAAGCTGAAAGCTTTTCAGGGTGCTTTTTTGTTTGTTGATTGTCACTATAAAGCCTTGCTGTGCAAGAACATGTGTACCTGAGTTCTGAGTACTGTGTTAGAGCAAGCACAGTGCTTCTAGTGAGATTTTGATTGGACGTGATGGTTCTGCAGGCTATAGTTCTGTTTTATGTCCAGAAGTTGTGATTTTTCTACCAAATAATCTTCAGCCCTTTCATTTTCAATTTCTTGCATATTAGGATGGAGTTCTCCTTGAAAAACAAATGCAGCAAATAAACTACATTATTCTAGTCATTGAAACTGAATGACTTCACTCAGTATGTTGAGAAGTGCTTACTCACTATGGCATGTTCCTCTACAAGGCAAGAGCATTTAGCATTTCTGTTACAGGCCTGCTAGAACAATGTGCACATGAGCGTTTTAGATTCTTGTGGGGAGAGAGGTCTGAAGAAATAAATCTTTAAGGAGAGGAGAATGTGGCACATCCTTAAGAGGAGTAACTCAGGTGCTTTGCCACACTGCACAGTTGAAATGTTTGAGTTTATTGATATATCTTTGTTATAACCTAACACATATCAATCATGTCTCTCTTTCCATAATTTTTACTTGCTTTTATTCTTCCAGGATATTTTCAGAAACCAAAAATTGTCTTGAGGACCGAATGTGTTTCTTATTTTTGACAAAATATATAGAAAATGCTGAAGAAACTTTCAGCTGTCACTGTAACACTTCTGAAGAGGTTCAGAGTCACTATGTGATTCTGTTTTAAAAACAGAAGGCTTCAATAACTAGCAATAATTGCAAAGGACTTGCAGACCAAAGGAAGGAATGTTTGGTATTAAGGTAGTTCTTGGAGCACAGTGTGTTCAAGGCCCTCTTAAATTCAGGGAATGTTTGGCAATGACTTTGCTGCTCTACATTTAACAGTATTTTATATGGAACATATTCTGAGACCTAGCATTTTATATGCTCTTTTTGTGTATGAATGTGTTCAATAAATTTTGAATATTTTATTGTCAAACTTTGATAACATAATAAAGTTGATCTAATACAGCTTGTCTCCTGTTGTGAATAACATGTCTCACTGCTCAGATGGAATGTCAATTTATTGCTGTTTTTCTTCCCCACAGGTTCTTGGTGTCTCTTTTCTCACAGTAATTGCTTCTTGGTTCATCTTCAAATGCAACTACTGTCTTGTGGTACATTTGGAGTTCTCTGTTAATTGTTCTTGAATTCATGGAGAATGTGGGACTGAGATTACTCAATTTCTTTTGTTTGCTTTCTTGTTCATCTTGTATGGGGGGCGGGGGGGGGAAGTTCTTGATGCCTCATGCTTCTGTTCAGGTAATCATTTTGAAATTAGTCCCTCAGTCCTGAAGTGTCCTAAATGCTTGCAGTTGCCTTTATATTGTTGATTTCCAAACTGATCCCCAAACCCATGCATGTTGACCATACAGTTTCATGGTTGTATGAAACAATATTTTTTGCAATTAAAAATAGTGCATTGTGGCCCTGAAGAAACTTTAATGATAGACAATGATTCTGTGGGGCAAAAACCCCTGGAAATTATCTCCCTTATCAAAGTAATCTAAAAGCCTGTTGAGCAAGCATAATTCTTCTGGTGGCTGGACTGGATGCTTCACTAACCTATAATACAAATGATTGCTTATAACTCTTGAGAAAGGAAAAAAAAAAAAAAGTTGAGGCTGAAACTTGCCTTGTAGGGGCTTTTTTTTTTTTCATGATAAAGACTGTAATACAAGATGAGTGCTAGTGACTGCTGCTCCTCTCTGTGCCTTAGATCCCTATTAATTAGACATCTTGTCCCAGTACAGTTCTTGTTCATCCATTCCTCAGGGTTCATTGACCCAGATGATTGCAGGAGAAAGGGGAATGTGGCCTTTCTCCAGCTCCCTATTAAAATGGGGAAAGTCGTGGACTTAAAGCACTGTGCCAATTCTTGGAAGAAGCTGGGAAGGCTGAGAGCACAGGGAAGGGGGGACAGAACGATAATGGGGCCTGGCTAGAGTGATACCAACCCATGTGAAAGACTGCTGTCCTGTGTAATGCTAGAATGTTGATGCAACACTGGTGTTAGCTTAGGCTGTGCATCTTTCAAATAACAAAGTTATAGTTGCATATTGCCTGATGCTATTTTGCTGTGCTATCTTAAATGCTTACTTTAATGATGGGATTACAGTTTTGAGGAATTATGTTGATTTTCTCTTTTGCTTGAATTACGGTTTTCCTCCAAAGTTCTAGCTTAATAGTTTCCTTTTTTTTAAGACTAATTTACTTTGTGGTCATTCAGATCCACAAATGACAGTTAAGTGGAATGTTTAGTTCCCAAATTGGCATTCTTCAGGCAAAAGCAGAATGTAATCCCAGAAATTCATATGCAATGTTTTACTCAAAATATTGATAAGTTTGTCTTAATGATTTGTCTGTATTGATGTTGCTTGCCAACTTCTTGTTCTAAACCATGCAGCATCTGAGCAGAATATCCCAATCCTGAACTCTTTTTGTTATCATGTAACAGGTGATCACTAATTTTGAGTTAAATAGTTTAGCAAGGTACCTTCATTTCAGGTTTTAGGGATTAGTTCTTAAGTAATTGAAGTTTAAGTTATTCCCCTCACCCCAGCAGATTTGGAAGCAATAGTGGTATCATACTAGTACTTCTAGCACTTTTGCAGGTTCTATTCAGTTTGTTACCAGTTAAAGCATATCCTGCTGTTTACAGTACTGCTTGTACTTTCTCAGCATTTAAAGGTGCTTGATGTGGATCAGTGTCACCCTCAGCTAACAATCATAGAAAACTATCTGTTATTTCTAGAATGAGTTCTGTGTACTGGAGCAAATTCTTAAATTTAGGTTTTAACAAAAGATTGCATAGCTTGTTACCAGGGCTGTTAAAGAGCTACTGCTGAAAAATCTGGAAAGCAACAGGTCATTTTAAATGTTAGGGTACTGGAAAGCCAAATTAGAAATAAAATATTTCTGTAGTCTTGTAAGTTGTTACAGAGTGGCTAGTGAACTAATGAACCTTTGACTTGTGTTAGCTGGATACATAAACACTTCACCCAGTTACAAAATTATTTCTTTCATGTGAAGGAAATAAAATTTTGTGATGCAAAAAAAGTGAGTGGTCTCCTTTTATAGAAAGAATGTTTAGCATGAAATACAGGAAAGGCTTAGAAGCTGGAAAAAGTGGAAAAGTACATGAAGCTAAAATAAGATGAACAGCAGTAACAAAGTCCCTAATGAAATTTGAAAACTGAATCACTTTAGTAGATTAAAAATGCAAATAGCAAATACATTTTGATGCTTTGACAAAGCAATCCAACTAGAAACTTTCTCTTACTCATTGATGATTCTTCAACAGCCCTATTTATGCAATGACTACTAGTTTCAATGGACTTAATGAATTTGAGGAAGTCACATGTTACACACCTTATGTATCAGCCTGAGTGTGTCTACTGCTACTTGAACAACTTAGAAATCTTTACTTTGCAAAACATGATGATTTTGCTAGTCTTTGACAACTGAATTAAAACCCCAAACCAAACAAAAAATGAAAACCATAAAACATGCTCCTCCCTAATCCCTCAACAATATCGGACCACATCTTGAATGTCTTTTGATATGTGTTAAGAGAACCAAAAATGAGTTATGATTTTCCTGTCTGTTACATTTCAACAGCACTCCTATCATATATGCACTAAAGACTAGCTGCATCAGTGGAAAAAGTGTTAAAGCCAGTCACTGTTTCTCACTGACGCTTCACAGCCACTGTTGAACTGCCCACTCCTGCAATGCAACTAAGATGGTCGAGCCTGTTGTGATTGTGCCTAAGAGATCTTTTTTTCATGCTCGGCTACTTCTGTTTCTCATTTTGTCTTGACTAATACCTTGACAGCAAGCTACTCTTTGTCAAACACAAATATGGAGGTAACTAATGCAGTGGATGTCCAAAGACAGAAACTTTCAAGACAAACAGCTTTTATCCACCCTCTCAGAAGTGGTAAATATCAAAGGTCAGCTGTACCCTCTGAGGGCATGGATCTGATGGCTAGCCAAGACAAAATGAAAAAAAAAAAAACAAACCCTATTTTGAACAGTAAAGCTAAATCAAAGTAATCCTTGCTTTTTGTCTGTAATCAAAGCTTGGGAGGAGAGAGTGCAAGATGTTGCTTCTAACTATTTTTGTAATA